CTTTTCCCCTATTAAAGACTCCTCGATAGTTTTTTGAGATGTTGGTGGGGTGGCTGTCAACGTAGTCGATAGGGTCGGGATAGCCTTCTTTCCTGTTTTTAAGGCCATAGTTGTTGTGGATGTCATCTCTCTAAGTATTTGTTTTTGTTGATGCACAATTTTAAATATATTATCCCAAATCACCATTCAGTATTTGGGTCCTGTACTTGAAAGACTATTCACGTATTTCAATTTTATATCTCACTCCACAGTCTTTTCCCCTATATCATAAATAGAGATCTGCAACAATATTCTAGTCAATGTAATAAGAAAATTGGTCAACAATAGTACATCAATTAACACTTTAAGGAATTAATCTTAAATGTCGTAAGTAGTCTAAATAATTTATAAATAGATTATATCAACAAAGTTTATCCCTTTTTACTATTAATATTTACAACAGTAAACTCTTAACTCTTTGATAATAGTGTATCCTCCTCTTCCACCCCCCCCCAGTAAGTAAAATTATGTAAAGTATTTAGGAGATACAATAGGGAGGCAAGGGGCAAGATAATAAGAGAAGGGGTAGAAGAGAGATTACCACAGCTTCAGAAAATCAACAAACAAACAACAACAAGGAAGTCATCTTAAAGAGAAAATAGTGCCAACTTAGTAAACTTAAGTAGTACCACGTAATAAAGAGAGCAAATTGGGTGAGCTAAAGTTCCATCTTCCAGCTAGAGGTTTCTTTTCAGCCTTCCAATCAGCAAATGGTGAAATGTGCTGACTAATCTGCAGTCCCAAAACCGTCTTTCCCAGCGTTCTGTTCGCCTCTGGCTTCTTCCTCTTGCTGCTGCTTCTTTCTTTGCTTTCCAACTTTTAAATCCACATACAAATCTTCCAAAGTCCAATATAATGCTCAATTTATCTTCCCCCCAATATTAAGTAGATGTAATAGTCATGTTGTGCTCAGACCAGTTCCGGATCTCCAATCTCCAGGTTTTAGCAATCTCCGTCTTTCCCCAAAGCTTCCCCCTCACAGGATAAAGTTTTCCCAATTGCTTTTCTGGCCGCTCTCCACCCGACTTCCAAGAGGTGCTTATCACAACCAGGAGAGAAGAATTTATGCTATCATTCTTCTGTCATTCTACTCCCTTCAGACTTCAAAGAATCCAAGATATAAACCGTTTCTCTGTTCCTGTTACTCGATCTCGCAGGCTGTCACTGCTTTGCTTATTCACTCAAGTGGCAGACCGGATTGGAAGCCGCCATAAAATGACAGCTTACTCTTTAGCGCCGAGCTCGGGAGCTTCCCTCTTCACTGTCGGGGAGTTGCCTTCCCCCCTCTGCAGCTCGAGGATCTCCACGTTGACACGAACCTCTCCGGGGTTCATGTATCCCTGGGGGATCGCTCCTGACGCCAGAAAAGGTGTTCGAAGCCTGCACCAGACTTCTTCACCTCCGTTCTCCTGTCCTGCCACTCTGCCCCTATGCTCTTTTCCAATGATCCAAGGTAGGATTTTCGGCACTGGCAAATTTTGGAGGTGCTCCAAAAGCTTTGAAGGAATTTGAGGTTTTGAAATAGAGTCCTGGAGTCTAAGCCATGAAACTCTGCTGAGCCCTGGTGAACATTGTGGTTTATCTGTTTTAGAACACTCTGGGACAATGTATGGCTCAAATGACTACCTGCTTTCTTTTGAAATTGCATGGGAAGAGAAGGAAAGAAAGACAAACAGAAAAATACAGAGAGGAAAAAAGTACTTGCATCAGAAATCTGTTTCCAGCTAGTAGAATATTCTTGGGTAAGGGCAATGAGTGAGAAGATGGTGACCAAGGCAGATGCATAGTCACACCACTGGGAGCCCAAAGGAGAGAAAAGTACAAGTAACTAAATTCAGAGACAGGAGTAGAAGTAACAAAAGTAACAAAAGTAACAAAAATACATAGATTAGGTTCTAGGGATCTAGAAAGTAGCAGCATAAGGATTTGGACAAAGGCAGCCAGCCGATCCGGACTGAGGGTCTCTCACCAGGGTCCAGGAATCCCGTCTTGAGCAGCTTCCCTTTCAGCTGCCTGGAGAGGAAAAAGCTGCCTAGTGAAAAGAAGCTACCTGGTCTAAAAATCTGCCTGGTCTCGGGAGAGGGAAGCCGACGCGGGGAACGAACAAGCTGTGGGTTTGCTGCAACTGCCAGCAAGGACTGCAAGCTGAGAAGCAACCCAACTACGGGTGAGTGTCTCCCCCGGCTCTTTATAGATCAGAGATGCATTTTTCAGTGGGAGGAAGGAGTGGGTAAATGGCTCGAAGATTTACTGTGGACCCGAGTCAGAAACAACTTAAAAAGCAAAGACTCCAGAGTGGAAGGGGTGAGTGTGGAGATTAAGCAGAATTCTAACTCTGGAAGTTAAATGGCAGCTTGAGAAAAGAGTGATTAAAGGAGAGAAAAAAGAGGAGGACTAGATGAGAAAAAGAGGTGTGAAGAAGGTTTTTATTCAGGAAAACTTCCTTTTGAAACTGAGATTAATTGTGAATTCCTATGATGGAAGAACTGGAATGATGTCTACAGTCTCCATTTAAATCAAATCACCAACTGGGGAGAACAAACGAGACTCATGGAGAATTGACAGTCTCTATATAAATCACCCATCTCCATTTAAATCACCCAGCTGATTTGTCAGCCTGAATTTAAATTCCCACTCAGCTGATTGGACAACCTCCACTAAAACCACACCCAAATCTCATCCTTTCCAAACTCCAAAGTAGATGATTGGAGAGCTCATTCAAATCTTCTCCATTCAAATCTATCAAACAACAACACTTCCTCTTTAAAACAAAAACAAAACAAAAACCAAAACATGTGGCTTTAAGGAAAAACAAAGGAAATTTACACAACAAACCTCCAATACTTTACTACCTCCACTATTTCAGTACCTCAAGTCCAAATATTTATAGATAATGCTTTGTCTATAATAATTGATTTATCATATAATAGTATAATAATTAATTGTTAAATGACCACTAATTTACTGATTCATTGAACTGATATTTAATACTGTATCATTGATTATCTAGTCTATTGATTGATTCTTAGTAAAAAGTCTGATTGATTTTTACTAATAAGTAACCTTACTTTTGATTTGTTCTCTAACTTATCAATTAACATTTATTAATTACCAACATTCAGTAAGTAACTGTCTACCTATCACATTAATTAGCTATTGTAATTGTTTAGTGTACTATTGTCATTGACCATGCCAGCCAGAAACTTCAGCAACTCCAAATCCTCCACTACCAAACAACAACAAAAAATATCTCTACCAGACTCCTCTACATGCTTCAGTTGTCTTAAAACCACCAATGAAAGCGAAAATAACATCAAATGCTACCTATGTGACAATCAAGCCCATCTTGCCTGCTTAAACTTAAAGATGTAGCTGATCTCCTAAAAGCATCGGATACATTCCCTTGTCTATATCCATCATATTTTCCTAAGCTAAACAAACCAAGTACCCTGCCTGACAGAGTTGATGGCATAGAATCACTCATGCACTCAGTAGAAAAATGCTTAGCAACATGTTTTGAAACAATTATACAAGAAACCCTAATTTCTCTTGAAAAAAAAATACAGCACTGATAAGTGACCACCTATCAGCTCAAAATCAAATCCCAACCCAACAACCACTACCACAACTACTACCTCAACTACAATCACAACTACAACCAAAAGTAACCACCAAACCACAACCACAAATAATTACGATCCCATCAAATAATTCCACAAATGATATCTCCTTACTCATCAGAGACATCATTGGACGTGATCATAACCGTCCAAATGCTATTTATTTGGTCTTAAAGACACCAACAAATCAGATGACATCACTAAAGTTTGTAATATCATAAGCAACTCAAATACAACAAAATCTCTCCTGAAGATATCATTGAAATAACCAGATATGGCCCTGAGTCCAAATACAATGATGGCTCGGTGGCCCCAAAATTTTGTAGAGTTGATTGCAAAAATGAGTCAGCAAATGCATATTTATTCATACAATAAATGCCATTATAAAAACCAATCCCAACCACAAAAAAATTCGCTTAAGACCAGACATCCATACTGCAAAGAATCCACTCCTGTGAACTACGCAAGGAACTCAAAAGATGTCTAGACAATGGAGAGAAGGATCTCTACATTGACTACTGCGCTGATTGTATCAAAAGTAAGTCACACAACCCACAACTCCACATCCAACCCTACCTCATCCAATCCACCATCACTCAACTAGGCACGCACACTCCTAACTACCTCAATTCCAACCACAACTGGCCTTCAAAGCAAGCTACTCAATGCAAGAAACCTTGTGAATAAAATACCTGAATTTCTCCTCTTACTAAATATGGTTAAATTCGGCATCATATTTGTCTGTGAAACATGGCTCAATGCATCTCTCCCTGACTCCATTACCACAGTAAGAGACTATCATGTTTACAGATCAGATCATGAAATCCATAGAGGAGGTGGTGTTGCTATCTTCTATAAAAGTCCTTACATCTAAAAAACATCCAAGTTACCCAGGAACTTGCTCTTCCTGAGACCATTGTCTGTAAACTGTCCTTAAGTATCACATTTTGATTCTTACTATGTTACAGAGCCCCTGATTATGACATCAAACATGTAAACAATCTAAATTCATGACTAACATGGGCAACATCCTGCCCACACACTTTTATCTTTCTTGGTGACTTCAATCTACCTCAAATTAACTGGACCCTAAACGAATGTAAAACTGAACCCATATCTGCAACCTGCTACAATGCTGTAACAAGCCTGGGATTGGAACAATACTAGACTTAACAACTGCCTCGATCTCATCTTCTGCAATAGTTTGAATTCAATTTACAGAATACAAATTAAAGAACCCTTTTCCAACAGTGACCACAGCATGATTGACTTTTGTCTCAACATACATCCACACAAAAATTAACATAACGTTGTGATCTCCAATTATAGCTTCAAAAAAAGCAACTATGATCTTATAGACAACGATCTGTCATTCCTTAATTGGCAATTTCTATTCACTTGATGCAATACTGTTGAAGACCATTACAACATATTTTTACTTGAAGTCAAAAGAGTGATCAAACTATATGTACCAATAACAACTCCAAAAAACAGAAAAAACAGATTACCCATAACGATAAGGAAGCTTCAATCCAAAAAGAGATCACTTTGACAGAAAAACAAATCTGGTCACATTGCCAACTTCAAAAGCCGATACAAAAATTTATGCCACCAGATAAAGACTGAATGCAACAATTATCACATTAAACAAGAGGAAAACCTTCTACGCACCAATTCCACCCATGCTTTCTACAATTTTGTAAACAACAGACTAAAAGACTCAGGGTCCATCCCACCCCTGAAAGGACCTAATGGTAAAGACTGCAATGATGACACTATTAAAGTCAACCTCTTTAACACATTCTTTAGCTCAGTATTTGTAAGCAGCAATGGATCGTGCCCAGTATTTTCTAGTGGAACCACAGACAACTACAATGATCTAATACATATAAATTTTACAGTAGACAATGTGGAAAAAGCACTACACAATCTAAAACCATCTTTATCTATTGGACCGGATGGAATATGTGCCTACTTCTTAAAATAGCTATCCACTTCCATAGCTGAACCTCTAAGCAAAATCTTTGAAAAATCTTTTGGGACCAGCTCCTTGCCTAACCTATGGTCACAAGCCACAGTCATCCCCATTTTCAAAAAGGGAGACCCCAGCCTAGTTGAAAATTACAGACCAATCTCTTTATGCTGCATCACCTGTAAAGTCATGGAATCAATTATTAACCAATCCATTATCCTCCACTTAGAGACAAACAACCTACTCTCTAATAAACAATTTGGTTTCAGAAAAAAAAAATATTCTGCAAGTCTTACACTGCAAAAACATATGGACTACACAACTCGATCAGGGCAAAGCATTAGACGCAATCTACATAGACTTATGTATAGCCTTTAATTCAGTGGTACATGACAAACTACTCCTAAAACTAAAATCTTATGGTATCTCTGAGCACCTACATAACTGGATAGAAGCATTGCTGTCAAACAGACAACAAATGATCAAAATTGGGAGAGTCCTATCAAATTCTGTACCTGTCAACAATGGTGTCCCCCAAGGCAGTGTTCTAGGACCAACTCTCTTCATACTCTATATAAATGACCTCTGTGATCATATTAAGAGTAACTGCATTCTTTTCGCTGACGATGTAAAGCTGTTCAACACCACAGACAATACTGCTATCCTTCAAAAAGACCTTGGCTATGTATCAGAATGGTCAAACAAATGTCAACTTCAAATCTCAACAAATAAATGCTCTGTCTTACATATTGGCAAAAAAAATCAGAAAATAAAGTATAGGCTGAATAGTCAAGACCTTGTTGATGATCCAAACTGTCAAGGATCTTGGAGTACTCAACTCTAATGATCTAAGTGCTAGAGCCCACTGTAACTACATAGCCAAAAAGGCATTAAGAATTGTTAACCTAATCTTACGTAGCTTTTTCTCTGGTAATATTACACTACTAACTAGAGCATACAAAACATTTGCTAGACCTATACTCGAATACAGCTCATCAGTCTAGAACCCACATTACGTAACTGATATTAACACAGTTGAGAAAGTCCAGAAATATTTCACAAGAAGAGTTCTCCACTCCTCTACTCATTGCACAATACCGTATGCCACCAGACTTGAAATTCTAGACCTAGAAAACCTAGAACTACACTACCTTCGGTCCGATCTTAGTATAGTATATAAAATCATACATTGCAATGTCCTACCTATCAATCAATACTTCTGCTTCAACCATAACAATATAAGAGCAAACAATAGATACAAACTCAAGGTTAATAGCACCAAACTTGATTGCAGGAAATACGACTTCAGCAACAGCGTGGTCAGTGTCTGGAATACTCTACCTGACTCTGTGATTTCTTCCCCAAACCCCAAAAACTTTAACCCTAGACTGTCTACTATTGACCTCATCCCTTTCTTAAGTGGTCCGTAGAGGGTGTGCATAAGAGCACCAACGTGCCTACCATCCCTGTCCTACTGTTTCTTTTATTTTTCTTATATGTATCCATGTATTCATAACTATGTTTTTACTTATCTTGTAAGCAATTGATAAATCAAATAAAAAAAAATTAAAAAAATGTAACACTGGTCAAAAAAGCAAATGACAGCAGCAGCTGACAACACACTGTGCCTCTGATGTGCATTGGCACAATCACTCTTGAGCAAACAGTAAGAGATTTTATTAAAGCACGGAATCGCAGCTGGGTCACTGAGTAGCTTTCCCTGTCTCTGATTATGAAAGAACTTCCTTGCTTGCTGCTTGGCTGGCTATTAATTATTTAAAGTACTATTATGTGACAGTTTTTTTTAAATGCTGTTGTTGGTCTGTATGATAATCTTCTGATTATACTTCACCATACAATTATTTAGAAATGTACCTAACCACTCCCACCCACCAATATTATTTATTTCATTTATCTTATTCACATCTCTTGATATTCTTTACAACCTAAAAAAAAACCTTAATATTTTACTTTGAGTAACTTCTACATTTACTTCTATATTATTCTTAGGAATAATGTACAAATCTTGCAGTCCTCCTGTGAATTTTAAGGATGTTATGGGAGGGAACCTCTAGTCTTCTCCAACTTAAAAAATGTTTTGTCCTTTCCTCTTCTTCTTTGCTGCTCCCTGCAAGTTTCTGCAGTACTTAGGAAATTAACTGGATCAGCAATGGCAAAACCACACTTGGAATATTGCATCAAGTTTTGGTCATCACAATCTAAAAAAGATTGTGGAAAATACAAGGAGTGCAGAGAAGAATAACAAAGATGATTAAGAAACTAGAAGTTAAAACATGAAGAACAGTTGCAGGAACTGGGTATGGCTGGCTTAATGAAAAGCAGAACTAGGGATGGCATGATAGCAGTGTTCCAATATCTAAGGGGCTGCCACATAAGGGTCAACTATTCTCTAAATAACCTAGGGGTGCGACAAGAACCAATGAATGGAAACTGATCAAGTTTAAGATTGTAAACTTGGGAGTATTTGTGGATTTCCTGTGACCTATGGAGTGTACAATTTGGTTTCATTAAAGTTCAATGTGTTCCATTTATTGTTGAAGGAATTGAGGTTTATACTCTTCCAGACCTTTTGGGATTAATACTGTGAATTGGGTGAGAACTGCATCAGAAAATGCAGATGCTGACCCTTAAATCTAAAACTATCTGTGAACCTATGCTGGTTTCATCTGCTGGATATTGTATTGTGGAAAAGACAGTTTTGAAATCATGTGGCTCTATGAAAGCTTTGGGCATATTTTTTTTAAAAAAAGAAATGTGCTTTGTTCTTGATAAATCAAAAAAAGAACATGTGGAAATCATGCATTGAAAGATATTTTATTTCTTTCCATTTGACAAATAGTTATTTAATAGCTTGGTGGTGTATATATAAGAAGCCATTTTGGTGATTGCAAAGTTGGTAAACTATTTGAATAATAAAAGCATTTCTTATAAGTAGGAAATATTCCCCATTCTAGACTTCTTTACCAGGAAAAAATGTTTACAATAACACTACAAAACATCATCCTGATTGTGATGTATCTGACATTGTTATTTTTTCTGTTTGATGTGTCTATCCTAATTTTTTGTTTATAAAATAAACAAAAAATTAATGGCCGCTTGTAGCATCCATATTGGGATCACAAAATTGGCAATGTGCATCAATTCTGTACATATTGTTTCTTGGCAAATTTATCTTCAAGTGATATAACATTTGAAGAAAAGGTGGAAGATAAATTGATAAATCATTATGCAAATGTTTCTATTTATTAACAAGTATCAACATAGACTTCATGACTAAATTAGGATTAATAAGCATTATTGCTGTACTGTGCTAATATCCTATATAACCCATGGGGGAAAAAAATGGAACTTTGATGTTATATATGCTGATGGCAGCAAGACATTCTACACACAGAAATGGAAAGACATTTTGATCCCCACAAATGGCTGCAAAAATTGATGGAGTTAGTAGAGATGGTCAAATTGACGGTTTTGAGCAAAGAAAAAAATACAAATACTTTTATTTCTACCTGGAAACTACCTCTTGACTTTGTGCTTGAGCTGAAAAAAAAATGAAATACTGACTTTGGGTTTTACTGATTAGATAGATTTGTTAAAGAAATAACTAGTTTAAACTGTAAAAGTAAAAAGTTGAGGTTTAATGTTAAAGCCTTATTCTACTGCACCAAAGGGAGTCAGAAATCAATGCCTTTTCTTTCTATTCCTGGAATTTTGATATAGAAGGAAGCATCAACTGTCTAGATCAGGGCTGTCAAACTCCCAGCCCATGGGCCGGATGTGTCATATGCTGGCCATGCCCATGCCTAGTTTAGCAAAGGGGAAAGAAGTCATGATATATCATGTGATGCTGCCATGACGACGTGTGACACCCCTGGTCTAGATCTTTTTGAGGTCAAGACTTTAAGTACATCTATTATATTTTAGAGGTATTTATGCTAAATGAGGCTCTTATACATTTACTAATGTCTAGAAGCTCAATTTGCCTAATATTACAGCTGGAAGAATTTATTGATTTAAAATATTTATATAGCCAGTATCTTATAACCAACTTTGGGCAGCTCCCAATCACATGTTAAAACAATATACAAACTCATTAAAATTATAAAACTATGCACATTAAAAACAAATACCTGGCATCAAGTTAAACTTCTGATGTGCAATCAGTACAGTCATGTGCAGAATTTATATAATTTAAGAAAGCGGCTGAATGTTCAAAGCAAATATATTTCTTCTATTTCCCAAATGCTTTCTTAATTTCCTTGTGGCTATGCATCTTCAGGTGATCTTTTTTAAAAAAATTCAATTTCTCTCATTGAGTCTTTTCAGCAATTTGATCAGCACAATCTTGGTCTAATATGTA